GTGAAGCCTGGGAATTTTCATTAATTGTCCCCCAGTCCTACAGTAAGTGTAAAAGGACAGAGATGGCATTTGAACCCAGGTGTCGCACAGTCTGGAGCCCCTGTTGGTCATCAGTGTGATGGAAAGCCGCCCCGGAGCCAGTGAGGCAGGGGCAGTTTGGGGAAGCGGAAGGGTGGGCACACAGTACCGGTGGTAGCGCCGGCGGGAGGCTTGAGATCTAGGAGCTGGAGTTCCTTAGGTCCTAGGGAGGTTCCAGGCTGTGCCCTGCCACTAGCTAGTGCTAACTTAAGCAAGGCGTGTAAGTTTTCTGAGCCTTGGGTTTTTGCCTGTAAAATGCGGGGAATACTGTATGTACCAACTTAAAGGAGTTGTTGAGAGGATTCAGAGGTAAGATGCAGAAATTCTCAGGGAAGTTAAAAGTGCTACACAAATATAACTTATTTGAATAGTAAAATAATTCATTTCTAATACCACGACCTCTCTTGCTATGTGAGCTGTAAATCATGTTCTATGAACCAAAATGTATTTTTGCCTTCCAAAATTTGAATTACAAAAAAAGTATAATAAATATGTTAACATGCAAACAGACACAAAGATATATTGTATGTATGCATAGATATATGTGTGAGAAATATTTTGGTAAGACCTAAGAAATGCAATAGAAATTGTCTCCATAATATCACAAGGGTTAAATTATAAAATGTGGTCAGATTTACTAGACAAGGGTATGTCAGACTTTTGGATAATTTTCTCGGCAGGACTCAAAGATGGAAAGTTCTCATCATCTGTATCCACATAGGAAAGTTGGTTAAAACTGGGAATAAAGGTAGAAGATTAATAAAGACCATGAAGACTGCGTGGGAGGGGCATGGGGAAGGGAAGCCGGGCGGGCAGGACTGCTGGGAACTGTTCTGGCGGCGTCATGTAGACTTCCCCGTGCCCCATGTGTGTGTTGGTTAAGTAACAGCCAAATGTTCTTTTAGGCAGTGAACTGAACCGCTCTCCATTGCAGACAGAGATGAGGGACAATGCAAGTACCTTCTGCAGAGGACGTTTGTGGTTTTGTTCCTGAACAACTCCTATCACCCTTTTCCTGGCGCTAGGACCCACAGTTTTTAAAATGCAACCTTCCTTTCCCTTCTTTCAAGTCTAATAGTTTGAGTGGGAGGGATTCACCTCCCCCAAGCGTGGTAGGTAATCTCAACCTTGCCTTGGACACAGCGGTGTGATCGGGAATAAGCATGTGATCAAATGCAGGTGAACAAGTCTGTCAGGCTCTTCGACTTGTTCTGGTTGTTAAAGAAAAGGCTCTTCTCTGACGATCCCTCAGCGTGAGGTTGGGAGCCCAGCGAGCTGCCTGCCCTTTATCACCCTTGGGTCAGCCTGTTGGAGAACGAAGCAACACAAAGGCAGGGAGAAGGCAGTTCCCAGAGTGACTTCATTTTGGCCTCAGTTTTACAGTTACATCAGCTGAGCTTAAGGTATTTTAGGTCTAATTTCCTGTCAGTCACAACAAAACAGCCTCCGTCGATTATGGCAGAGGTGGCCAATATCCATTCTCATTTCCTCCCACAGTAATAAGACTATGGTAACCAACTGTTCAGCACTGGAGTCGTGTGTGTTATGAAAGCCCTTAGTTCCGGGTAAACCAGGACATTTGGTGACCTAGAAGGCACGTGGGCTGCCTGGAATAGAGCCTGCATTTTCCAGCCTATTATATATAACCTGGGATGGTCTTGTGATCAAGTTCTGCCTAGTGGAATGTAAGTGGAAGTGGCCAGTGCAGCTTCCAGGAAACCTCCGTAAGAGGAGAGAACAGGAGCTCCCTCTCTTCCCTTCCATTGGCCTGCTGCTTACTTGGCACTCACTCTTCTACCTCCTAACAGAACCCCAATTTTAAACAGATATCCATTTCCACCCTTCCTCACTCAAGTTTGGAAATGGAACTTGTTCTGGTTACTTTTACGTGTCAACTTGGGTTAGCTATGGTATTGTTATCTAATCAAAAACTAATAGCGTGTGTGTGTGTGTAAAATCACCCCATTGGTTCCATTTCTCTGGATAATCCGGCCTTGTGCAGATTTGATCATTTTGAGACCAGTTTTGACCCTGGTGTCTGTCATTGGTTTCGAACCCGGATGTGTGACCCAGATTAAACCAACGTATGAAATTCTGGAGTTCTTATAATTCTAGGAGAACTTTCCAATAGCTACTGCCTCTCTGTTCCTATGACAGTCGTTTCCTTGGACACCTGACCTGGATGGGCTGAGTCCTTTCACTGTCAGGCCAAGGACGAAGCCAACAAACTGTCTGGGTCTTTTAAGCATATTTTTCCTTTGTCTGCAGACTCAGTGTTAAGCTTTGTCAGTAGAGGGAACTAGAGACACATTGCAGGAGGCAAAAAGGCCTTCCCAGCCCCGCTTCCCTTGGAAGGCTCCGGCAGCAGCTGAGTGGGCAGCTTCCCTGGCCTCAGGCTTTGCCTCACAAGCAGTGTCCCTGGCACCCCTGGGCGGGTTTGCAGCAGAGTGCCTCCTCACCATGTGCAGCATCCTAGAGGTGCAGCAGATTTCTGGCAAGTTCCTAAGGGTGAGGTTCCAGCCAGTCCCACTGGTATAGACGCAGCTCCCCATAGCCATGAGCTCTCCCACAAGGTCTGGATTTCTATCCCAGCGGATTTCCTTCTCTCTACTATTCCTCTATTCTCACCAGCCAACCCATTATGACTCCAGTCCCTCCTTATAGTTAATAATTCTTCCTATCAAATTTTCCCTGTTCAAATTACCATGTGGTTTCTCTCTCCTGATTGAATCCCCAGACTGGTACACACCCCTACTCTTCACCTGGATTTTACTCATCCTTTAGGTTTTAGTATCATTTTCTCATAGAAGCTTTCTCTGATGTCTCAAATCAAACTATATCCCTTTCCTTTTTATTCATAGCATCTTCCACATTTTTAAAATCATGCACTTCCTGTGATATTATGCCTTTGTCTTCCCCCAAAAGATAACAATCTCTAGGAGGATAGTGATCATGTTTATTTGTTGCTATAGTGCCAGTGCCTATCATAATGCCTGACCCAACAATGGGTCATTAAATTAAAAGGGAAGTAAATGTTTAATGAGGTCCTATTACATGCAAGTGGCTGGTGGCAATGAAAAAAAAAAATAGAACTCAAATCCTGTTCGCGGGGGGGTTGGCAAATTTATATGAGAAAGTAAGACCCATCCACACAAAAAAAATATAAAGCAGGCAAGGGAAGTTTCCAAGAGATGACATAAATTGGAAGTACTAGTAATTCAGAGGCAATCAAGAATTTTATTTTTTAAAAGATTGTATGTTGTTATATAAACATCCTGAGAAATTAATTTCCTCTTAGGTAACGGGATTTTATCTATTAGGTAGAAGTGTGGAGGAAAATGGAACAAATGAGATCAGTTATTTATTTTAGAAGATACTTTGGGTAGATTCATAATGAGTTACTAATTCCTGTCAGCAGTTTTTTAAAATGTAGCATATTATTATTTTTTCTATTCATGTAGGTTTCCTGAAGTAAAAATAACTAACTATAAAATTGGAGAAAATTACTCATATTTCTTCTTTTCTAGGGTAGGTGTTCTTCGGCTTTAAGAACTTTGTTGAGTGTGCGTGGGTGAGAGCTGGCTGTTATCTGTTGATGTCCACAGTCAGACAGTCTTCTGGGTAGATGGTTACTGTGGCATGATCTTGGACAAATCACAGAATCATGTATTCTGGAGTCTGGAGGGGTTAACAATCTCATTCTGTCCTGTTCCTTCATCTGGAAAGGAGAGGTTCTCCTGTACACTCTCAGATCCCTTCCAACTCTCTGAAGATGTGCACACACTTGAGAAATCAGTTGAGCAATAATTCCTAGTGTTGAGTATGTTTCCTGCTGAAAGTCCATGGTGCTTTAATGCATCAGCGGAACTGTAAATTTTATTTAAAATACACAGTAAAGTTTCGCATTTTTCTGAGTCAAATGCTTATTAGCTTCCACTCTTTAGCCCACGTGGATCATATAATGCAACTTTCCTGGCCTTCAGCTTTCTGATTAAAGAATAATGTACTGCCAAGATAACATGAAGTTTTTCTTCAATTAATGAACATTTTCTGAATATGAATTACGTACCAGGCACTGAGGACACAGAATTAATACATAATTCCTGTCCCTTTGTTTAATGTGAAGAAACTGGTGTTTCAAGATCAGTTTGAAAGACGTTGTGGTCAATCACTTACACATCACAATACACCATTTCTTTTAGTATAAATAAATAAAAAAAGACTACCTTCCATAAGAACTAAGATAGAATGGGGATTATTCAAGATGTACTGTGTCAAATTGTAAAATGGACAAAACCGAGTTAAGGATTTGTTCGACCACCGGTTTGAAAACAGGGAATGCAAAGTGTTGACGAGGGGCTTTTAAACTCACAGAGGAGAGGATGCTCTTTACACTCAGCGAGCGCTTTCAGGGAGGGTCTCGAGATGCGTAACAATAAACATTTTTCCAAATGCAAAATGTTGGTATTATTGCACGGGAGTCGGTCAAAGTACATTAAACAAGAGCTAGCCAATGCAAATCAGACATAAAACAAACCCAGCTGCTAAAATTAAGTTTTAGAAAAGCGAAACTCAACCACGTAGACTGGGAACTTCCACTAGTGTTCGGAACTCTCCACCCAATTACTTCTCGGCGGCTTGGATGAGCTACAAGAGGGGCATCATCAGGCTTTCCATTTCTGACCAGCAGATGAGAATTAAGCACCTTCCTCACCACAAACCCAAATCCGACTTCCCCCCTCGGCTCCAGTCCCAGGGACCGCGCGCTATCCGCCCACCCAGTTCCTCCCAGCACCCCGTGGAGAGAGCGGCCTTCCCATTGGGTCAGCGTGGGATGGACGTCTCCGATTGGCTTAAAGGAGGGGCGGGGGAGAGGCGTTTCCCGACGGCACACCCGCCCCTAAAGCCTCCCTGCTGCTCAGGATTGTGGGAGGGAGGGGAAGTTCCAGGAAAAGAAAATACCCCGGAACGCCCTTTCCGGGCCCGGGTCTGCTCTCCTCCGGAGCCGGGGTCCTCTCCCCACAGCCGGGCGAGCTCCGCCCCCACGCCGCACCCGCTCTGAGGGATCAGGTGACCACCGGCCCGCGCGGTCACGTGGCTGGGGCGCGCCTTCGCTTTGTGGCCATGGCGGCCGCAGGCTCCAGTGTGGTGAGGCGAGTGGAGCAGCTCGGGGACCTAGCTCAGGCCCACATACAGCAACTCAGCGAGGCCGCTGGCGAAGACGGTGAGGGAGCGGGGCGGGCGGGCGAGGGAGCGAGCGGACAATGTGCAGAGCTGGCTCTCCGCGGCCGTCGGGGCTGGGGCTGCGGCCTGTGGTCCCTGTGCGTCCCGCGCGCCGTCGGTGGTCCGGCTCGCGGAGCTCCCAGGCCCCGAAGCCGAGGCGTTGGCGTCGACGCCGCGTTTTCATAATCTAGGAAAACTGCTTACAGCTCAGATCCATGCTTTCATTGTTTCGGTAGCCACTGGGGAAGAGGGCAGAATCCGGATAACGACCCACGAAAGTTTACGCGAGTGGTTAAAGCTGATGACAGCGCGCGGGCGGTGGTGGTCTGGGGCGCTGGAAGGCGCTGGGCGAGTGTGACTGTCCCGCCTAATGGCTACGTTGTGAATTTCTGTCTTGTTTGGGATTCTCAGCTCAGCTGTAAACAATACGCTACGGACGAGCTTTACCTGGTATAGGGCACACGATCCTTTGACGTGCACCGTCTTAATTCCCACAGGGCTGTCTGGATCAGAAAACTTCTTTTGGAAAAGTCCAAGCAGTTTCCTTAAGCCAAAAAAATAAAGTAAAATAAAAAAGTCGAGAATTGCCTCGACTTCTGGTTTTAAGTTCAGTTTCCTTTTATTCTCAGCTGCCTGTAGATTTTACATGATTTCTGTTTTGACTTTTGAGCCTTTACTGCAAGACAGATCGGCTTTTAAATTCTTGTGAACGCATTGTGATCACACTCATAGGAAAACAGTAATGAGATATCTGTTTACCCAAGTGATTGAATAAAGAGTTGGTGAATTTATTGAATAGGGCCTGTGATGAAACAGCTCTAGTTCTAGTGAAGATTATTTGCCGAATTATTTTTTTCTTAGGAGCATGTTCTTCAAAACCCACAGAATGCCCAGAAGCTGACCTCTTTTTCGGTTTGTGGTAAGTGAATCCCAGGATTCACATGAATAGTTAGTTCATGGGCAGCGGTAGGTCTCACCTGCAAGTGGATCTAAGTTACTTATAAATAAGCTATTCAGTGACCTCGCCCCGCTCCAGCTCCACTGAACCCGTCTGAAGAGATCAAAGGTTTTTTATTCACTTGTCCTTGAACCCAAAAGCCATTCACCTTTTCTCGTGGAAGAGTTATTTAATCCAGGCTAAAATGAAGGCTGTAAGTCAGTCAAGTGATAGATATTCGTGTTTGGAGGCTTTATAGTTATGAAAATTTACTAAAGTGAAAATGATACTGGCGCATATTGTGAGTCTTTAGTATTACTGGCATGGTTTTCTTATTTTAAGAAGTTTAATAAAGATATGGTCGTATGTGTTTGAATTGAAGTTGGCATTCTTTTCCCACACAACAAAATTAATATACATTTAAAATTTGTCCAGTAATGTAACAACTGTATAATTGTATTTGGTTACAGGGCTTAATAGTTATCGTTGGGTTCATCACGTTAGATCAGATACAGCCAAATATCCATTGAGGAATGTTTTCCGTTCTTCCATTTTTGTTACCTTATTTCTCCCTTTATAAGCACGCTATGTTTATCGTAGGGAATTTTGCCATGAGATGGACTTTTTCCAGAAATATGCACTTTTGTCTTGCACGTCATCATTTTTACTGCATTTTTCGAGTAAAAATACTGCATTTCATAAAAATTTTCTAAAATGTGAGCTATTATTGCTTCACCCTCAGTAATTATGCCATGAATTCATGTGAGATACACCTAAAGTGAATTCGGTGCAGGTCTTACATTTAAAATAATCCTACAGATTATGAAGAAAATGTTAATGCAGTCTCTTAAACACAGGAGTGTCGTGTTCCACACAATTCCTGTTCATGAGAGATTCTTTTTTCCTGGGTTATTCACCTGACACAACTCTCCTGGGCTGAGGAAAGACGGGAGGCCAGTGCTGAAGAAGAAATCAGGCCAGGTGAATAGTGTGCCTCACAGCAATCAGAATCTGGCCTGGATACAGGTGAGGCCTCGCCAGGGAAAACAAGGCCATCCCATGATTGACCGCAGGCCTAACCAAGCCTGGCGGTGCTTTCGCTCCTGCTCTGAACGGCTTCCCTGTCTACAAGTGCTAGAGGCTGGATCGGCTGGGCCCGGACTGGAAGGGCCTGCACCCAGTGCTCGATTTTCTGTCCATCGGCCAGTGAGGAGGAAATTTTATTTACCTATGTGTGTATGTATATTTATTTCCGGAAGGAAGTACAGAGGGGCAAACTCAGGGACTTGAATGTCATGATGGTGGGCATTTCCAAATTTGATTACATGAGATAGTGCAGAAAGCTGGGAGACACCTTGGTGTGAATGCTTTGTGGTTAGGGAGGAAAAATTCATGAGAAAAGGTGAAACCATAGAAGCGAGGGGAATATGATGTTGAAGGGAAGAAATTAAAAGACCATGTAAGGGGAAGGAAGATATATCAGAAGGCTTTAGTTCTAGCTCTTCTAGGTTTTGAAAGGATGAAGTAACTTATTCCATACCTAGGTTTTTTAAAGAAATAAAATATGCAGATGCATTATATAATTTTAATTCTAATTGCTATTTACATAAATATGTAAATACAACTATGATAGAGTTATAATTGAGTGCCAATATTTTATGAGACATTAATCAGGCTCCTTTGGAAAATACATTTATGAAATTTTAAGTTTTCAATGGAAGCTCTTTCTGTAGATTGATTATATATTTGTACTATTCCAGAAAAAATTTTAAATTTATTAAACATTTTACGTGTTTAACATCATAAAAAAAACAGTATGAAACTACAGACTGAATTTAAGAAATGACAGCTGAACCTAGAAACTTTTCAGTCTAGCATTCCGGAATAAATTTCCATGGTAAATTAGCTTAATTAGGATTGGGCATCATGTTATACTTGCTTTACATAAGATACTATTACTATCATGCTGCTTCTCCAATGCCATAACGTAATTTTACTTAATCATTTCAGATACATAGTACTTCAACAGTCTGAAACTATGTGAAGTAATTGCCATGTTCATTTGTTTTTTTAATTTGTTGATTTTTTTTTAGAGAGAAACATTGATTTGATGTTCCACTTCAGCATTCATTGGTTGATTGTGCCTTGACCCGGTCTCAAACCCACTACCTTGGTGTATCTGAACCATGCTCTAAACAACCTAGGTACCGGCCAAGGCTAATCGCCATGTTTTTCTCTCTTACAGATCACTTTTTAATCCGGGCCTCTGCAGCTCTAGAAAAATTGAAACTCTTGTGTGGAGAAGACAAAGACTGTTCAAATCCATCCAGTCTACTAGAACTTTACACACAGGTACTGAGACAGATGTGGCTTCTGACATGTTAAGGGGCCAGATTGCTTAATTAGATGGTTGAGTCCAACATTTAAGTGTAATGAAATCAGTTTATTCTCTATCTAAAGGGTTCAGTTTTGTTCAAAAACTATGTATAAAGCATATAGACTTGAAACTGAGGCAATATGCAAAGAAGATTTAGTAGATGTATGTTGATAAGAAAAGTCAGGATTAAATCTTGCTGATACCAGAATTGCTTCCTTTTATAGTAAGTAAGCAAAACAGTACTACATCCTATGTCCAAGGTCCTAAAGGTTATTCAGAGGAAATGGAGGATCTATAAGGGCCCCAATTATTTTTTCCTGAAATTCTCATTTCCTTAGGATTCCCTGCTATTGTCATGCAAATCTATGTTTGTTCTGTTCCCCCTTTTCCCTTTTTTTTTTTTTACTTTGCTTTCAAAATCAGGCTTCTGTATGGACAAGATCTGTTTTCTTGGTTTTCTCAAATGCTGCTGAGACAAGTGGACATTAAACATTATTTCGTTATAGAAACAGACAGACATACAGCATCTTACAGTTGCTAGAGGGCTTCATGTGCCCTTACTTGATAGCTCAGGGATGGTAAAGATGAGGTGGTAAGAGAAAGTAACTAATTGGTAGCTACGGAATACGCATGGGGAAGTAAATAAGCATAGAAATGCAGTCCGTGATGTTGCGATAAGCAGGTGTGGTGCCCTTTGGAAGCTGGAAATACTGAGGGGAGCACTAGGTAAAGGTGACTGTCTACCCACTGAGCTGTGCACCTGACACCAGGACATAATGAAGATGAAAAGGCAAATAAAAAAGTAGAGCAAACATTGGTAAGCTTCCAAAGTACACTTCACAGCATTCAGATGCCTGGCACTGTGCTTTCTGTTAGGAGACAGAGAAGGTGGTTTCTGCCATCAACCGTCATGGTCAGATGAGCCTGTAACAACTACCCACAAACCCCTAAGAGCTGCCGCAATTTGGCAGAACCTGGCCTGGCTTTCTTTCCTTTCAGAAGGCTCCCTGCGCTTGTCTCATTTGTTTCCCATGAGAGAGTTCTAAACATTTTTATTTCCAAGAATAAGGCAAAAGCCCCTAGAGGTGTAGATTTATATTCTCCAGACCCCCTTGTACCCCACTTGGTTCTGAACAACAGGTCATATTTTGTAGGTTGGTGACCTCGGCCTTCCTGGCTTAAGCCTCCTGCACAACAACATTTAGCACCTCTGTAGTATGCTAGGTGATGTTCTAGGTGCTTTACATGTTAATTCATTTTATCCTAAAAGCAAAGAACTTTGAAAGTCATAGTCCAGTTCATGTTACCAATGAAGCAACTGAGGTTCAAAAACATAAAATTGACTTGTCCTTTGGTTAGTCAAGTGATTAATGGTAGAACTGATACTAGAGCACAGCTTTGTTGGTCTTAGTCCAATAGACTCTAAAAGGGGATTTGGGTAGTTTTAAAGTACTAGAACGGAGTGTCTTGTATTTAGTTAAGAATGCTGGGGTCTTTGCATTTTCAATGCGTAGTGTTGGTGATATGCTGCCTTTGTTTGGGGGGGCGGGGGCAGGATCCATACCCCTCAAATGTTGAATCTGCATTTGGGAAAACAAATCCTTTGAAAATTCAGTTGACAAAACTAGAGATGGGGATGTTCATTTGATACAGCAGCCATCTAAAATGTTCAGAGTATACATGTATAAAAAGCAAAGAATATAATTCTGCTTTTCATAATTTTTTATATGATTAACTTAATTAAAACATAACTCCATTTTATTTTTTGAGGGAAGGAAGATTAGCACTAATTTATGTTTTTAGTAAAATAGCTATGAAGTTTTCCATAAAGTTCATGTCAGATTGTATTTACAGCTAGACATTTGGCCTACTTTTCAAATTTAAATTTTTTACTATGTATTGAGAGAGAGTGAGACAGAGAAACATTGATTTATTGTTCCACTTATTTATGTATTCATTGGTTGGTTCTTATGTGCCCTGACCTGGGATTAATCCCACAACCTTGGTACATTGGGACTTTGCTGTAACCCAACACAGATAACCTGCCAGGGCTTCAGATTTAAGTATTGTTCTAGAAAACTTAAATGTCTAGTAAAATGTCTATATATGTGCAAAGTTAAACGGTTGAGAGTTAAAAATGATTGAAATCATTTACAGATACTTGTTTTCTCTTACATATCAGGCTATTTTGGACATGACATACTTTGAGGAGAACAAGCTAGTAGATGAAGATTTCCCTGAAGACTCTTCACAGAAAGTAAAAGAACTGATCACTTTTCTTTCAGAACCAGAAATTTTAGTTAAAGAAAATAATGTGCATCCAAAAGTAAGTTTTACACTCATGAATGATGGTGAAGCTGCTAATTCTTGCCGTGTGGGCTGCTCTTTAGCGTCTGTAATTTTTTCTTCTTGAATACGCCTTTGTCTCTATTTTAAATTAAGTTTGATGGAGAGATTTATGAGGGTTTAACATTTCACAACGGAAGTGTTATATTTTAGGAGAGATGTTTCAGAATATTTGCATGATGGAATTGTATTTTAATTACAATGCCTGATCATTTTCTAAGCACAGATATTTGCTATTTCTGCTCTCTTCACTTTTGCAGATACTGCATTTCCTTGAGGATCTCTAGTAATTTAATTAGCACATCTCTTGTCCTTTTTACAGTCCTCATCCTCCTGGACATTTGCTGCCTTTCTTCCCACGGATCAACCTAACCCTCCAGCCCCGCGTGCTCCTCCTCTACACCTCTGAGAAGTCTTGCCCTTTCCCCAGCATCTCCCCTTTCTCCCATCCTGGAAACAGGCACCCCCGAGGACGGCTCCTCGTCCCCTGACAGCCTCTCTTCTGTCTTGGCTTCACAGTCTGTGTGTATACTCTCTACTGCCATCTCTGTTCAGACGGCTCCACGATTTCTATCTCTAGCCGTGGCTGCTCTTTCAGGGGCACAATTTCTCATCTCTAACCGCCTGCTGCCTCTTTCCCCCAGATGTCTTGTGCCGTATGTGTTTATGAGGGGATGCTGCCTGGGAACAAATAATCTCAAATTTCAAATGACACAACACAGTAAAAGTCTGATTAAAATAATGTTTGTATATATGTATTTTTATTTTATTCTAGCAATAGTAGAAATAGATATTGTTTCAAGTAACATGTATTTCTGAAAATTTTCCTTTTGAATCAGATTATGGAATATTTATAGTTCAGATATATCAGAATTTGCGACTAAAATGTTTAAAGAATATTTTCTACAAATATTCATAAGTGAAGTATTTTAGTTTTTATGTAATAATAGCTTTCTGTATGTGAAAATAGATAAATGAAGAGCAAGTTTTGTGAAATGAGAGTGATTTTAATCTCTCAGTATTTTGAACTTTGATTTTTACAGACATCAGGTTTTTCTTCTTAGCTGTGCCTTTACTGTGTTTCAGCACTGCGACTTGCTTGGGGACGAACTCCTGGAATGTCTCTCTTGGCGACGAGGAGCCCTGCTTTATATGTATTGTCATTCTCTAACCAAAAGGAGAGAGTGGCTCATGAGAAAATCTAGTTTGCTTAAAGAGGTAAAAAGACATTTCTCATATATTCTTGATTATGGACATTTATAGGTTTCAAAAGGCTGTCCTAGGTATAGTGTTAAGACTATTGGAACGGAAGGGTCTGCATTCCAGGTCTTTTGCTGTGTAATCGTAAACACATTGGAATTATTGTGAAGGTTAAGTAAGATAACATGTGAAAGCCCTTGTAAACCGGAAAGTTCTATAAGCTCAGGGTTTTTATTTCTTGAAATACAGTATAAGGTAAATCACTGTTAATTTTTAAGCATACTTTTTGGCCTGAAGAAAGCAAATGTGGTTGCGAGCCTCTCTCCCCGATAGCAGATAGATCCTGAAGAGTTCATGTGACTGCTCCTGGAAAATTGTGGCTCCCTGATTTGGTTGGACTCTTCTGACCAGATCAGTAGATCTTACCGTTGTCATAGTGCTGTGTAATAGCACCAGGGGGTCTAACTTGGGTTGATGGCATAGGCCGTTTACATGGGCCTGGAAATGAGAGGCCACACTTTCCGATGTGGAAGTCTGAGCATGTCATTTCTCAATTACAGTAAGTGCATACATAATAAATTGCTGAACACATTCTAATTATCCTTTCTCTGATCACATTTTGACAAGTATATGACTGAATCATGTATTTTTGGTTAAGGATTTTTTTTTTCTTTTATACCTTTCACAACTGGAGGATATGGTGGGTTACACTTTATAATAATATATATTATAAAAGTTTTGGGGTGGTGGATCCTTAGACCATTGAAATGTAATAGCCATAAGACACATCTATATATGAGCTCATTTTCTCTTGAGTAAAGAATGGGGGGAAAAATAGCATTTGAAATTTCTATAGCTCTGCGTATAATACTTTCAATCTTTGGCTTTGACTTCCATTTAGTACCTTGTTGATGGAATCAGTTACTTGCTACAGATGCTAAATTATCGGTGTCCTACCCAATTAAATGAAGGAGTTTCTTTCCAAGACCTAGACACAGCTAAGTTACTGAGCGAAGGTAATGTCATCTCTTTTTGAAGTTTTTGTTTTTTAAGCTTTTTAAAGTATTAAGAAGTTTATTTTATTTCACACTGATTTAAGTAAATTTCAAGTTACATCATAGACAAAAATAATAAAACAGCTTCTAAAAAGTCAAAGATATTCTTGTATATGCTGCTAGCATCTTTGTTTAGTAATTTTGGGAGCATTGTATATCATGTTATATACTTATTTTTGCATCCCCCATCTTCCCAATCTGGTACCAGGTTCTGCTACTTGTAGCAGAAACTAGAAGAAACTTTTAAACAAGACAGAACTTGACTGCCCTTGTACATAAAAAAGATCCAGAGCTGGTTATGTCGGCTCCGTGGTGTCGTCAGGTTCCTATCTTTTCCTCCATCATCTTTGGAACCAGAGCCCTTTAGCTTCAGAGGGAGGCACTTCATGTAGATTACCATGTGCACAGGACTTCCCAGAGCCATGCAGGATGCCGCGTCCATTCTCGGTACCCCAACACGCTCTTGGAGCACCTTCCATCTTACGCATGTCTGAGCCTACAGGAATGGCAAAGGATGCTTCTTTCACTCAGGTCTGCTCCTTTGGAGCAACCTTCTCAGAAGTTTCTTACAACATGTACAGCACTTTCATCTATATTTCACTGGCCAGACTTGAATCATCTGGATTCATGTAACTACAAAGGAACCTGGAAAGTATAATCCTTAACCTGATGTATTGCCATCCCAAATAAAATTAAGTCTCTTTATTAAGAAAGGAAGAACAAATATTGGGTGGCAACTGTTAGCTTCTGCCACAAACATCTGCAAACTTAAAAATGTTAAGACTGGGATACGGTAAATCATCTGGGTTTTAGACTGAGGTGCTGGAGGGAAGAGCCACTTATTTTTACCATCTCTCTTTACAAATGGAGGAACTGAGGTCCTGATAAACCATCTGTACCTGTTCATGGTCACATAGCTGGCAAGTGAAGTACATGATCGTGTGTGTAAATTTTCTTTTATACTTCATCTGAAATTTTGACAAGGAAAATAAAAAATGGGAAAAGGAGAAAACTTCTTAGGGAAAATTTTGTTTTTTTTATTTTATAAATACATTTTAATTCTCCTTTGTTAGCTTCTGTGAACTTTTCTATTAAAAACATTGCATGGGAGAAAAAGCATCGTACGTTATTAATAAACGACTGGCTAGTGATATGCAGAAGTTTTTACTTTCAGTTAATTTGACAAATAGCTTGTCTTACAGAAGTTTTATTGTGAATACAAAGTGCTCTTTTAGCAGGCATGACACTTTAACAAACACGGGGTGTTTTGATTTATTTATGGGACGTATTTATTCCAGATTACTAGTGAACTGACTAGTTGCATTAAAAATGGCTTTTCTAAAAATCTCCTGATGCAACTTTTTAGATTACTTTAGAAGAAAAAGTGGGGTAGGTACTAAATCCTATTTAGAAGCAAAGAAAGTGCCACAGGTCACCTGTTTCCCTTCTCCCACTTTAGTCATAAGGTAAGGTACTCTTGTGGCCTGAAACTTTTTCTCCAAAATGCATGTGATCCTGGTATCTTTTCTTAGTCATAACTTGCACTAGCCCTGGCTTTTATTGCTTCTATAATGGGAATCAAAAGGGACAGAGGAGGGCCGCTTTTTTCCAGAAGCTCAGAAGACTATATTATGTCCATAGTGGTATTAGCATAGTGATTCGTTCTCTCTTTCCTGCTGTTGGCCTCTTGCTCTCACCTAAAGTTGTTGGTTCCGGTGTAATTCATCTCTCTTTAGATAATTAGAAACCAGCAAGCCTGCTTTTCATAGGCTAAATTATTCCTAAGTTTCCGCTAGCGACATTCAATTATTTTTTTCATTTTTTTTGTTAGCCAGTATAAAACTTAATTCCAAAAAATCCTTTATGCTCATCAGGGAGAAAAGTTCTGTATGAGTCATCAAAATATTTTTGTAGACAGATCTTAATGATAACTTACAAATTTTAGATAAAACTCAAGGCAGTATATACTTAGTAAGATTTTTTTTCTTTTTCTAAAGTAGTATCATCATGTCCTTTGAACATTACTTATATGTCACTAAATTTTTAGCTTTTAAAAATTACCAGGTAATGCATTTAGTAAGCCTTTTTACCTCATCTCTGAACCTCATTCCTCTGTGTGTTCTTTCACAATTAGCTTTGTCGGACTAACCTGGAGTTACATAGTTAAATACTGTTTAGTACTGAGTTTCGCACACCCTGGGTTTATGCCCTTTTATACCACTGAGGACCCACCACCTCCTTCCATCTGCCCTTCTGCTCTTCACTTACCCCAGAAACTGGACTTCACATCCCCTAAAGCAGCGGCTCTGAAATGGCATTGCTGATTACCTGGGTCGCTTGTTAAAAATACAGATTTCTGTGTGCCATCTGCAGGTTCTAACAACATGTGGAGTGCAGGAGTCTGTTTTCAGTGAGCCCGCATCACCGCGATGCAGCTGGACTGAGACCTCGCCGCCCCCAGGGATGCCAGTCTGCCCGCCTTTTTAACGTGAAGGCAGCCTTTCATCCTCCCTCTCACTTATTCTCCCTCTCCCTCTGCATGTCCCACTCTCTAGTGTGTTCTAGGACATGCACAGGGCAAAGTGAAATAGTTTATCAAAGGCCATGCTGACCATTAACCAAAAAAAAAAAAAAAAAGGAAATTTTGTAGCAGCAAAAAGACTATAGTTACAGAGTAGTAGGTTCCTTGAGGAAGTAGAGAGGAAGTGCTTAACTTTTACTTTATTCATCTTTTTTTTTCCTTTTTTTAAAACACTGCTCATCCTTTAAATGCAGTAAAGTTTAATGCAGTGGTTTAGCACAGTCTGTGGATCAGCAGGGTCAGCATCACCCTAGGTTCTGGGGCTTTGTCGTAAGTGCGAATCCGTAGACCCAGCCCCACACTCGAACCTGTCATTCCGGAAGTGGAGGCCCAGCAGTCAGCATTTAGCACAGCCTCCTGGCAACTCTGAAGCAGGCTAAGGTCTGAGGACCATGCTTTACCATATAGCCATTCATTCTTGCCCTGGTAAAAGTCTTCCCGTAGGCTGTCTGTGTGCCTTGTTCAGCGGTCACTCCTTGGTACTGTAAAGAAGGCTGGGGGGATTCATCGTCCAGGGCCCCTTGGGACTGGAGGACTCATGAGTCGCAGCCCAGAACTCCGTCCCTCCAATTCCCGCAAGCACCCCTGGTTCCACCCTGTGCCCAAATACCCCAGCCAGCCCCCTCTGACTCTTCATCCAAACTCAGCCGGGAGGGACTTCTGTCACGGCCGCTCCGCAGTCGTGCTAGAGGAGCTCAGAGATCCCGACCCACTTTCATTTGGGGAATTCTTTCAGATGACACACAACAATTATTTAGGGCCACACTGCTGAGGAGCTCTGGACAAGGGCCAGAGACCGACAGAGCCCCTAACGGTTGTGCTCAGGGGGATGTGCCAAGAATGAGGGGGTGTTTTCCAGTTGCTGGCCTCCGGTGCCTGGCTAGGGATGGCCGGATGGCTGTGCAGGGCACACTGCGCTTCCTCCTGGCCTTCCGGTTGGAAGCTGCTACAGAGAGAGCGAAGGCTCCTTGTGGGTGGTGCGCATCGCACCGGGCCAGCGGCTGCCTGAGGGCCTGCATACCACCTACCACGAGGGCTCCAACAGCGAGGGCGTGCAGTGGGTCTTCCAAGTACTTGGGCAAGCACCCTGTCATCGGGCATGAGTGACCTGTTGGAGTTGGCCAAGTAGGCCGCCTGCGTCGAGGTGATCCTCGTCTCGGATGCCAACACCTTCGGTGTGGAAGGGCGCTGCACCCCGCCAGCCCCCTGGGCCTGTTCTGCTGAGTCCTTAGCGCCTTGAGCAGGGCCTGCTGAAGGTGCGGCTGTTCCCTGCGCACAGCTGAACGCATTGCTCTGCCACCTGTGCGAGCACCGCGTGCGTGCTCAGCGACTGCCTGCATGAGCAGGCTCAGGACAAGTATACTTAGAACACCTTTTTCTGCGGCAGCGGCACCGCCACGTGACCTCTGCCCCGTGGGGCTGCTGGCCAGCGGCGCTCTGTGCCCCGCCGCCTTTCTGCAGGACGCGCGGACGGCTGAGTCAGCTCTGGCCGCGCAGCCTGTGGAAGGCCGCCTCCCCCGACCTGCGCCTCCCTGTGCGGCAGGCGCCGAAGACGCGCTGAGACAGCAGGCCGGGGGCGCCCGGACGAGGAGGCCGGGAAAGACTAGTTTTAGAACTACTTTTACCTTTCGCTTTGGTATGCCCCTCTGGGAATTTCTGCGATTCCAGGTTCGACAATTGCGGGGGTCACTGAGGGAGTTCAGAGCCGTCCATGTCTATGCCGTTAAACCAGCTAGGCTGCCTTTCTCAGATCCTTGGAAACCAGTTGAATTCTGGAGTCTGGCCCAATCCGGGTGGTGCGCATACCTGGGAAGGCAGTAGCGTTTCCTTAAACCTCCTAAGAACTGGGATGAAGGTGTTTCCTTGCAGGTTAGAACTCTGTTGACTGGGCTGTGCAACCTCCCTTCCCCCCAGCCTTAGTCAAAGAGACCCAGGCCCCGCAGTCCTCCCTCATCGGACTCCCAGCAGAGAAGTTTGAGCTCTCCGCCAACAGCCCCAGGCCAAGATCTTGCTTCACCCACGTCGACCACACAGTACTACATCCCTTTTCTTGCCTCCCAACGGGCCACCGTCATCAAAGAAAAAAAAGCCAAAGACACCGTCGCCTCCTGGTGGTGAAGCGAGGTAGCACCATGTGCAGTTCGAGTCGGGCTATCCATGGACCTCTCAGTGCTCCGCGGAGTCCCCTAGCACCTCCCTAGCCTCGTCTTTGCAACAAGACCAGGGACTTAATCTAAGTAATCCTCATGGGCTGGGCCCTCTGCGTCCCTCTCCTCCCACATGGAACAGAAGGTCATGATGTTTAAAGCAGAGCCAGAGGGAAAATAAAGAATGACGCCAACTTGGAGTTGGCATAAATTAGACCCCAAGCCTCTGGCCAACGTTCCCACCCTTCCCAAGTGGCTTCACTTTGTGGTACTGACTGCAGCTCCTCCCAAAGCTGTAGCCTGCTGAAAAGTTCAACCTCCCCTCCGCTTCTGCTTCTGTCTTTCTTCCCTCCACCAATCTTCTTACGAATAATTAGGCAGGGTGTAGGTTCACAGACATAAAAAGGATATGCATTCAGTGAAGTGCTGAATAGAACATACAATTCCGAATAACATCTAATGATGCATTCAGCTTTGTCCTCTGAGTTTTCTGGTGTAAGTATGAAGGAATAAAGTAAAAAATGATTGTGTAATATGTATTGTACTTACTAAGTGAATGTTTTATGCATAGAAAGTATAAGTCATATAGCATAGCCTTATCATTTTCATGGATGCAAGCCTCAGAGTCTGCCTTAAGTGATTATTTCTTTTATTAATATAGAACTTTAATGAGTCAGCTCTTCCGCTGAACCTGTTCCTTCTAATGCTACTATTTATAAGCCATATTTGAGCTGAAGTGAAGGGGATAGCTGTAGGGACAAATTCTGAGACTATAAAAGCTTGCAATAGAGTTAAGATGACAGATGCTATAACAAGTTTTGAAAGTTGAATTTTTCTTCTATTTTTGTGTCTCTAGTACCATCATAGTCGTTTCTGAGTAGCCCTATTAGGTGAGCAACTGAGATTATGATGCTCATTTATTCGAGGTAAACTTTTCTAATCACAAATACCTGTACATTAGAATAAGTAATTTATTTGTATTTTAGTGGCTTTAAGAAGTTAACTAGTTATATAGGTTTTATTAGTCAACAATTTATACCCAGGTCTTTTTGATTCTAGGTCTTTCTACCAAATTAATATACTTTGTATGCCACAAATGTTTAATTATATAATTGCCTTATTCCATGATAAGAATGCTTTAACTTTTGATGAAAATTCTGCATGTATTCATTTTCCTAGGAACATAAAACATCTTAGATATAATTTAACCTCTTGACAATTTAGAATTACCTAGCTTCTCAGAGCCATGTTTGTACATGACAATTTCCGTAGGCCCTTGTAGAACCGTGGGTGTAGGAGGTGTAGGGCACTTGACAGGAACTGTAGTATCAACTCTAGAGTACACCGTAAATCAAAGGTGTGTTCATGGTGGCCGTCCAGGAGACTCTGAGTACTCAAATTGTGTGCAGAATTTGGGGTGTATGTCCTAGGGGAGTTTCCATTGATTGGATTAGATTCTCAAAGAGGCCTTAAAGAGAATCTCAGAAAGGTTAAGAACACACTGATCTAACTGATGTTTTTACAAACTTCTCTGACAATACTCTTTTGAAGGATGAGGGAAGAAATTCACCTCTTAATAGATAAACTATAGAGGTAAAAATTAAATGGGGATTGCACTAGCGATATTTGGCTTTTGTAAGTGTAACTATTAAATAAGGAAAAATGATTGCTGACATAAAAGGGATTTATTAGAGTTTTAATAACCAGAGTTTCTTTGTAAAGTTTTGAATTCTAATCTCTTCACTGAATGACTTTCCCAGGAATATTTAGTGACATCCATTTGCTGGCTATGATGTACAGTGGAGAAATGTGTTACTGGGGGTTGAAGCATTGTGCAGATCCACAGCCAGAAAGCCAGGAAGTGAGTGCCGGTGGTTCTGGAGCCAGCTACGCTGCACGCAAAGAACCCTTGGATTTCCGAGAAGTAGGAGAAAAAGTTTTGAAAAAGTATGTATCCGTTTGTGAAGGACCCCTGAAGGAACAAGAATGGAATACAACAAATGCAAAACAAATTTTAAACTTCTTTCAGCATCGCTCTAACTAGTAAGTTTGTCTAGTCTTTTTCAAACAGAAAAACAAAAAGACCCATGAAATGGAAACGTTCCAGGAAAGAAGACACATTGATACTGAATTTAAGAATGTCACACTACTTACAGATGTCCAGCGTGGTTACCCTTTTTAAAATGCTACCACCATATTTCCTTATATATTCTTAAATCTATGAAGGAACAGTTATTTCATTTCTAAAATGGCATGTATGCTATTCTAACTCAGCCTGAACTATAGATATCCTATAACTAACACTAAGGAGGAATCCAATTTAGCTTTACAAAGATTTTTTTTTCTGTTGCTTCAGGATTTGTTTTGTTTTGTTTTGTTTTTTATTGTGGTAAAATATAACAAAATTGACTATATTAATTATCTTTGATTATTTTTCTATCTCTGCATCATGAAGCCTGCTATGCTTCAAAGGTTAAAATCAAGTAACCTCATTGCTTTAGATATAAGCTACAAATAAAAATTGGCAGAATTATGACAAATACTCAGATTCCATTGCCAGAATAAGATAAATAGTGAAAGCCTTCATAAGAGAATTGTTTAATTATTTTACCATGTATTGCTAATGGCATTTAAATTTTTTATCCCTCCTATTAGGTACTTTATAAAAACTTAAAATGATTCTGCTGTTTAAAAAAATATGCGTGGTTTATCAAATAAGTAATAAAAACCAAGTTTGGTCAGTTCACCATTAGTCCACCACTAGCCCCTATGTCTTTAAGGCACATCTTTTCATGTGTGTTGAAATGTCTGTGTGTTTCTGTCTTTCCTGGTCGGGCGAGTGGTAAAGGCCAGGGAGCCCCGCTGCTGTCTGGCTTGCAGGCCTCCTGTCGCGCTCCACACCAGTGGCTCCCTCGCGTTCCCTGAGCACTTCCATGGCCACGCCTTGAATGTCACCATCCTGAGTTTCTCTTTCTGAAACCTTAGATTTCAGTAGCATGATCATTCCCATCTGCCTAGCGCCGTCACCTCTTCATTTTCATTCATTATTTTCTCCTTGACTCTTTCTCAGTTCTTCACAGCCTCCCCTCGTGACGGCCCCCTTTTCTCCTAAACCATCAGCCTCTTTCGGATGGTCTCCCTTGCCTTGTCCAGCCTCAGGCTGAGGGGAACTGAACGTTAAGTGCCCTCCGCAGGCTCCCGGACAAGGGCCTTCCCCTGGCCTTCAGCCCCGTTGCTCCGCAGGCCCTCAGCCCTCCGTCCTGTCATTCGCCATTTCTGGATGCCCAATGCCATGCGAAGCGCTTGCAGCCCTTGGCAGCGGAGTCGCTCCAAGTGTCTCGCCTCCGGCCATGGAGGGGCCTCAGTGTTGGCCTTTTCTTTTGACTGGTGTGGTCCCTCTCCTTTTCCGCTGGGGCTGATCCATACTACCAAGGTTCTAAAGAGGTCTGGTTCCATTTGCTAGCTCTGCCCTCCTTACTCCCACCCTCCCCGCCTTTTTCAGGAGAGAAGAGCTAGCCTGCTTCCTCTTGGAGACCGCCCCTGCCCGCTGTCTCCTTCCTTTCCCCTGGGTCATCTCTCTGCCCACCCTGAGATACTGATCTTCCCTAGAGTTTGTCCTTTTTCTCTTTTTCCCCCCACTTCTTTTCCTTCCTCCTTTTTACTTATTCTAAATACTTGTGCAGTGTCATTCATAGCCATGGCTGCTTCTACACCTTTAATGTTAGGCTCACTCCTGAACCTGTGCTTGATTCCCAGCTTCCTTCCTGCTCTTTAAGCCTTATTTCCAGCTGCCAATTAAATGTCTTCACTTAGATGTCCCATAGTGATTTTAAGTTCAGTATGTCCAAACCACTAATCCTCTTTCATCTAAAATCTTCCTGTTCTTTTTTCCTCTTTTTTTGATCTCCCGCAGAGCAGAGCGCTGCCGAACACCGTGACCCAGTTTCCGCCTCCCTTCCCCTCACCTCTGCAGCTCACCCTGTGCCATCATGTTCTAGTCCAGTGTTCCTCATACAGCAAAACGCAGGCTCCTTCTGAGAAGCATTAGCCTTCCCAGAAAACCTCTTGGGACGAGCAGAACCCCCTTGATCTGCCCCCATCTCTTTGCTTATCCTTACACAGCTAAGAAGACTTACTTATGTTAACAAGTGTCTACTATGAAAATGCCTTATGCTTTCTAAATGTGAAGATTTAAATGATTTTAAATATGGTTTTTAGACCCACACACTGTCCCTCCCCTACTCTGTTTTCGGAGCATCTCGATCAAGCACAATACTTCCGGTTCTTCCCCACGTGCTGCGTGTGTTCCTGAATATCCTTGCGGACCGGGAACGCTTCACCTTTCTGTGTGGCCCAGTGATACCCACTTGTCCTTTAGGACTCCACTCGCTCCAGTGGTGCTGAATCCATATGGCTTTTTTCAGCCCTTTCCAGGGAGACTTAGATGCTCCTTTGCTTCTGTTCATGTAATCTTGCCCTCCCATGTTATCACAGGGGTTGCATTGCTTTCTTGTTTCCGTTGTGACCCAGTGAGCTCTGTATTTTTAAAATCTTATCTTTATACACAATGCTTAATCAATGGTAGGTCATTAGTCAAGTTTTTTGAATTAATAAGAGACGTGATTCTAAGTGCCGAGCTCTGCACAAAAGGATGGCTCTGCTGCATTCCACACTGCCATGCCCTTGCACCAGAGGTCGACAAGGCAGACAAGGAGAGCGCTCCTCAGGAGTGAAGTATCATGAGAGTTAGAACCCAAGAAAACGAGAACTTTCTCTGTAAAAGCCTGGAACTTCCATTTTTGCCTTCATGATCCCGTGAACCACTTGGGCCTCACTGCTTGGGACAGTTGTGAGGGCACTACTGGGTGCTTTTTGTACGACCTTCCACCCCCACACAATTGGAGGATAATTTGTAGGCCATAGCAGTGATAATGTAATGCTTTTTACTCTAGCATATTACAAAACAGTGAACATTTAACATTTTGTATGTTAAAGCCTGCTAAGTGAATTCTGTTTCATTTAGAATGGAGTAACTTCCAGATACCACCTAAGGGCAGGCCTATACTCACTCAACAACTTTTATGTGCCTACTACCTACCAGGTCTTGTCCTAGGCACTGAGGATGTGCAGCTTTGTAAAACACCCTGTTTCAGAGTTTGCATTCTTGTGGAGGAAGTGCATACGTTTGAAGAAATAAATATATGGCCTGTTAAGTGATCAGTGCTATGAAGACTAAAGCAGGTTAAGGGACTAGTGTGCCTGGAGAGGAGTGGTATTTCCAGGACCTGTCCGCTTTAGCATTTGTATCTGCAAATGCCACCCCTTTGGTTAAAGGCCTTGGACATTAAGTACATTCATAAAGTTTCTTTTTCTTATGGAAGCTCTGATACTGCAGTAAGAAGTGAGTCACTGCATAAGACCTCATCATTTTTATTACATTTAAAGGGTTCTCCAGTGTGGGCTTTACTAACGGGTGAGTCTAAAGGCCTTGGTGCATATATTATACTTAGGGCTTCTCCTTTTGGGTTCTCTGTTACTAAAACTTAAACTCTGCTAACAGATTTTTTCATAATCCTTAAATGTGTACGGTTCTTTCCCTGTATAAATTTTCATAGGTCAACTAGGCTTTGAGACTTAAAGGCCTTCCCACTTGGTGCATTTATAGGGTTTCTGGTTACTGTGAATTGTTTCATGCTGAGTGCCAGCCTGCGAACCGAAAGGTCACTGGTTCGATTCCCAGCCAGGGCATCTGCTCAGGTTGAGGGCCCGGTCCCTGGATGGGGGTGTGGGAGAGGCAACTGATCCATGTTTCTCTTGCACATAATGATGTTTCTCTCCCTTTCTCCCTTTCCCCCTCTCTAAAAATAAATAAAACTTTTAAAATGAAAAGACAAAAGACTTTCCCTTACTCCTTTGCATTCCTAGTCATGGCTAAAATCCCACAATAAGATGACATTCCTACCTTTACAATCCCACTGTGAATTCTCTGGTGTTCATTAACGTGGGAGGTGTGCCTGAAGCATTCTCAGATTCATTTTAATGGCATTTCTGGTAACTCCCAGCTGGTTGACATTAGTTTCAAATTGCTTATCTTTCTCCACCTTTCAGGGTTCCTTTCTGAGGCTCACAGAAGGACTCCCATCTGTCATAGAATCCAGGATTCTGTAGTTCCCTACTATTACTCTCTTGTATTATTATTGTTTTGAAGATGTAATTGGCTTTATTAATGGATTCATGAATGAGGAGCATTCCATCTAGCAACTAGAAGGGTGCTCCTTGTATTTTTTAACACTACAAGATCATATTATGGAAGTATTACATTAGAAAACATTTAATGTATCTACAGTTAAAGTATGTGTTATGTACTCATGCTGGTGTTCTTTGCTGTTTTTTGTTTCCCTACTAGTGAAAATTTCCAAATAAAATGTTTTGGAGCATATAATTTTTTTTTTAAATAAAACTATGTTCCCACATTTGTATCTTGTTCTTTGTTATCTTTATGTCTGGGTGTTGTGTGAGAAGGAAAATGTTTATCATCTCAGTTTACTCTTGAGGTCTGAATGTTATTTCTTCTGGCCCTAATAATTTTCACACAGGAATATAGACTCTGGAACCAGAGTCCTAAGGTTAAATTCAAGCCCTGTCATTTCCTAGCTGTGTGACTCTACATAAATTACTTAATCTTTCTGTGCCTTAATATCTTATTTAACATAGGAAATACAATAGTATCTGCCCCACAGGTTCTTGAAGATTAAATGATCAACATCTAGCACATGGCAAGAGCTCAGAAGAGTGATCACTATTATTTTCCTTACTGTCTAGTTCTGTGTATCAGCATGCCTTGTTCATCATGCTGAAAACTGTAATACTCATCAACCAGAATAACTGAGTGACAAACCCTTCTGGCCAGGGAGCAGTGGACTTGCCACGTCCGCATGTGGTGCTGGCCATTCTCAATGGAAGGCAGAGGTCAGAGAGGAAAGCATGGGGCTAGATGGGCATCTCAGAATGTTTGCCATATAGGTGTGGCCAGAGGAAAACCTACAATTTTCAGATTTCAACCCTGGCCTCCAAATGTGTGCGTGTGTGTATGCACACACAGTTACCAATTTCTACATTTACCAGACAGCCTGATTACGTTTATTTCTGGTATCTTTTGGTCTCAGCTCACAAGTCAGATATTTAACGAAATGTTAGTCATTAAATATTATATATACCCTATTTAAAAACATTACTCTAAGCCATGGTAAATCCATGTGATTGAGTAGTACGTGGCTGTAAAAAGCAAAGAGGAAAATTTATATTTAGGACGGCCTTAGTGAAAACCAAGGTGGAGACGGTGTATGGATGTTTATTTAATAGGGCAAAGTGGAAACAACATCCTGGGTCAAATAAGGAGGTTATAAAGGAGTAAGAGATGTTATGGCCACGGGGGAGGTCACCACGGCCGAGGCTAAGACCTGAAGAGCCGAGGCAGTGACTGCCGTCCAGAGCTTTCAAAGCGGCCGGGAACCAGGACAACGCGGCCACCGTCTCCGTCCCCTTCCCGACTCCGTCGCTGGTCCGACCCGGGACGGGGCCGAGGGGCGGGGCGCCTGGGAAGGCGGGGCGTCGGCGTGACCTTCCGCACGTCGCTAGGGCGCCGCGATCATGGCTGGAAGCGAGCCCCGGAGCGGAGGTGGCTCCCCTCAGGCGCACTACAGCGACTGGGGCCGCTGGGAGGCGGCCATCCTCAGCGGCTGGAGGAACTTCTGGCAGTCGGTGGGCAAGGAGCGCGCGGCGCCGAGCGCCTCCCGCGAGGAGGTGGAGGAGGAGCCCAGCCCCCTGACGCGGCTGCCGGTGAGCGTCGCCGCCGGCCGTGGAGACCGGAGGGGTCGCGCAGGGAGGGTCGCCACTCCCGGGAGCCTGGGCACCTCTCCAGGCCCGGGGGGTCTTGCCCGGTCCTCGCGGCTGCTGCGGCAGTATGGCTCCCTGGGAACAACAGCAGACCAGGAACGCCCTGGCGTTGATCCGTGTGCCCCGCCGCCGGGCCGCAGGTCGCAGCGAGACTCACCTTTGGGGAACGCCCTGGTCGCTGCCCTTCAGGTCGCGCTCAGGTTTTCTACCCCAGGCGGGTCTTGGGACCAGGGCACCCAGAGCGTCCGGTCAAGGAGAGAAGGAGGCCGTTGCAGCCTTTCTGGCCAGCTTAGGAAAGCACCCAGCGCCGGGGTCCTCAGCACCTTCATCCCAGGCTGGGTGTCTCGAACTGCGGGGGACCCCCAAACACACCCTTCCCGAGGGGACCGCGGCGGTGGTCCCAGCCACACAGGCCGCGAGAACCGTGCGCGGCGCTTAGCGATAAACTTGTCAGGGAGATGGGACAGTGGGGAGAGGAGAAATTCTTAGAAATTATTAAAATTGTGCATCTCACCTGGACCGCGGACACTGCCCGCCGGCCGTCAGCAGGTGAGACCCGCGCGCGGAGCGCCCCCGAGGCCGCCCCCCCTTGCGGTAATTCCGCAGGTTTTGTAGGGGACGCCGGGGACAGATTTACTTTTTGATTGCTCGTAATGGTAAAAGCAGAAGTTTTCTGGATAAAGTTCATTTTGAATTTTGAAGAGTAAATTAATTTCTTAAGTAATTTACTCAAATGATGTGGGAAAATAACCATGCAAAGAAGTTAAAGGAACTGGTGGTTTTGCCTGAAAGAGACTAGGACAGTGATTGGTGTTTCCGGAATGTTTCTGCGTGTCAAAAATTAAGTGTTCAGGTAGGGTTCCCTCCTGGTGGCAGGAAAGTGCCTGCAGATGACAGACTCCACTTGGGGTAGGGACCGTGAGGTCGGCCGCCGGTTGCCGAATTCAATCATCCTTCCTCCATTTTGTACTGTATCGTGGGAGGTGTAATTAAGACACCGTTCAGTTGACCTTTGGTTTCCTGGTTTAATAATGTTTCCTCTAATTTATTATCCGAAGACAGTTTTCCAAAATAAATCCCTCCCTCCTTGTACCTACTTGCTGCTTTCCTCTGTTTTCAGATTGACGTCCAGCTGTATATTTTGTCATTTCTTTCGCCTCATGACCTGTGTCAGCTGGGAAGTACAAGTCATTACTGGAATGAAACCGTTCGCGATCCAATTCTGTGGAGGTATTTTCTGTTGCGGGATCTCCCTTCTTGGTCTTCTGTGGACTGGAAGTCTCTTCCAGATCTGGAAATCCTGAAAAAGCCTGTATCTGAGGTCAGCGACGGAGCATTTTTTGACTACATGGCAGTGTGAGTATCTACGTGTATGAATTAAAGAGAAGACACTAAGTTTGACTGTATACAAGTCCTGCTGCTAGATTTTGGGTTAAAGTGTCCTTTTCTGAAAATGGGGGTTAGGCGAAATGACTTCCTTCATTTTGTTATTTCCCTATATTTGAATAAATATACACAGTTCACATGGTAAGAAATGAAACGCTTCTTAAATTTTGTATTATCTTTAGAATACTTGTCATTTTGTTCAATGGCAAATACTTTCCGTAGCCAGAAAACGAGTGGCGAGAGGTCGGAGCGCAGTTCTCAAGGTTCTGGGAAATAAGGTTTTCCTGCCGCCCCGAAGCATTGGTATTGCCAGACATGATGTAGGTGAGAGAACTGCCCTTCGCGAGCAACTGGATCTGTGAGCGTTGCTTTCTGCCTGTTCACTGATTTAACCCTCACCCAATAAGAAAGTATTATCCTTGTGTTGCGGAGGTGGAATCGAGGTTCAGAGTGGTTATGGATTGGCCCCAGGTCATACAGCCCGCAAGGGACTGTTAGATTGGAGCCCCATCGTGCTACCTTAAAAGTAGATAATGTCGTTGGATCTGGATGTAACCTGCTTTACTGAGAGCCCCAACTTTAAGGTGTCATAAATAAAATTAAAAGAATATTCAGTCCTGACCCGGTGGATCAGTTGGTTGGAACATTGTCAATACACCAAAAGGTTGTGGGTTCAATTCCCAGTCAGGGCACATACTTACATTATGGGTTTGATCCTGGTTGGGGGCATATGGGAGGCAACTAGTTGATGGTTTTTCTCTTACACTAATGTTTCTCTGTCCGCTTCCCTCCCTCTCTAAAATCAATAAATTTATCCTTGAGTGAGGATTAAAAAATATATATATGTGCTTTAGTTAAGAATTGTTTCTGCTGTGCTATATTTAGTAGCTACATACAGGATTTCCCCCCCATATTTTATTTAAGTTATTTAGAATCTTATTCCAGTCCAGATGCTGTTACCTTATCTTGTGAGACTGCTTGATTAAAGCACACATCATAGTCCTGGCTGGATGGCTCAGTTGGTTGGAGGGTCATCCTGTGCACCAAAAGGTGGTGGGTTCAGTTCCCAGTCAGGGTACATATCTAGGTTTAGGTTCGATCCCTGGTCAGGGCTCTTACAGGAGGCATCAAATTGATGTTTCTCTTTCCCTTCCTTTCTCTCTCAAATCAATAAACATAGGCTCAAGTGAGATTTAAAAAGTTACTAAAATGCACATGATACATTGTTACATATAATTTCAACCAGTGCTTCTGTACTCTCACTTGCTGGGCATTACCTTTACATTGTCCTACAGCAAACCATAGCATCAAATGTATCTGATGCTGTGACACCAAATTTTCCCCAGGAGTAGTGATAATCATAATAACTACCTTTCGTGATCAAATAAAATTATTTCTGAGCCTTACAACCCTGGGTCAATTGTTGTTGCTCAGATAACGCAGTTGGAAAAACTGAAGTTCAGACTATAAATAGCTTATATAACTAATTAAAGTGGAGAAGGCTGTCCAGATCAACCTAGTTTCAAAGTTGATTATTTTCCTTCTTGAATTACAGGTTCCTACATAGAAATGATTATCTTGTTAGGTTAGTAATTGTCTTAACCACCTTGATTTAGTTAAAGGGCTGTAGGTTTTATTTTGATTTGGGTAACTTTGTTTTAATTTTCGATAACATATAAAATTGCTACTTTAGAAATTTCAAGCTATTGCTAGAAACTGAGTTGTCTCGTTTACCTGATTCTTAGTTTGCTAGGTTGTCTGTAAGGAATATTTGAGTATCCCTATATATTTAACATTCATTGAACTGTTGTTGCATTTGAAGCTGTTAATAAGAGTACCTAAGAAACCCAGTTGCATATTTTTTTAACCTATAGGAATGTTTATGCTAACTGTCCATGTAGTTTATCTTCAGTGTCGTATTTCTCAGTCTTTCCACTATGGACATTTTGGACCAGGTGTTTTGGAACTGTCCTTTGTGTTGTAGGATGTTTTGAGGCACCCCAGTCCTCCACCCACTAGATGCCAGTAGCACCAGTCCACTACCCCTGCTGTGAAGACAAACATGTCTCCAGACATTGCCATGTGCTCCCTGGAGAGTGGGGCTGAGGAGTATAATCTCCCCAGTTGAGAATCACTGCTCTATGTCGCAAATTCTAGCCATTGAAACAAGTGTTAGACCAAATGTTCCATGAGAGAATGTGAGTCAAGGTTAGAGAGTAAGTAACCACTTCCCAGGGAGGACTTTCTCAGTTTCTGGACCACTAGTACTCCCATAGTCCCTCATGCGTTTCCTGTCATGGCGTTTGGCATACGTACTATAATTGCGTCTGTCCTCTACTGCCCTGCATGAGAACTGGAAGTATATAGTTATTGTATCCCTTGCAGCTAGCAAATTACCAATATATTATACATTGTTGAACGAATGACTAGTTTTTCTATGTTAATTTTCTGATTGTGACAATTTTATACAGCTATAAAATGTGCTGTCCATGTACAAGAAGATCCTCAAAATCTAGCCGTCCTATGTATGGAGCAGTGACCTCGTTTTTACACTCACTGATCATTCAGAATGAACCACGATTTGCAATGTTTGGACCAGGTTTGGAAGAACTGAATACATCTTTGGTGTTGAGCTTGATGTCTTCTGAGGAACTTTGCCCAACAGCTGGTTTGCCTCAGAGGCAAATTGATGGTAATTTTCATATTAATCTACAGTATATAATAATTTAACACTTTGAGTTTGACACTTAAGGTAAATAGAAAGAAATTTATTTTTTAATCAATTCTTTGATGTAATGAAATATAGTAATTTGGTTAATGGGAGCCCCCCAGGTGCCTGTGGATTGAAAGAATTAATGTACTTTTTATAAGATGTAAGCTACCTCTTATTTTCTCAGGTTTGTGTAATACAGAATATAAGATTATGTGAAAGTAAATTATGTTGCCCAGTTGTTGTATTTGTACAATAATTACCATATTTTAAAAGAATATTGGCCCTGGCTGGGTAGCTCAGTTGGTTGGAGCACTGCCCCAATACACTCTAGGGTTGTGGGTTTGATCCCTAGTCAGGGCACATGCAAGGTTCAACCAATGAATGCATAAATAAGCGGAACAACTAATCGTTTCTCTCTCTCTCTCTCCCCCCCTTCCCTTCTCTCTCTAATCAATTTAAGAAAAAAAGAATATTAACAGCAAAAACCATTTAGCATCTACTATGTGCAAAGTACTTTCACATACTGTGTATTGAAATTTCATAAAAACTTAATTATCACCTTCCCCTTCTTTCTATGAAAAACTATCCAACAACCACAAAGTTAGGTGGTAAGCAGGATATATAATAAATATAAGAGTATAATCTAGCTTTACGAATTCCTTTATTGAGAGCACCTAAAAGATGCTAGAGATGCAGAGATTTAAACCTAACAATATCAAAAACCTTTGTCCTGAAGATATTTTGTGTAGGTGATGAGGGCAGAGACAAGTGTAGACGTGATTTGAATATGATGTAGTTAGTTTCTGGATAGAAAGTTAAGGGTCCAACAGGAGGTCTCACATGAGCCATTAAGATGAGTAGGAGTAGGCAGTCGAATAGAGACAGGGTAAACATATTCTAAGCAATGAGAACTATGTCTCTAAAAGCACGAAGCTCTGGGTGTGCATGGCACATTTGTAGTAGCTCTGTGTAAACACTGGGGCTAAGTGAGAAGACACTTGTGTGCCATGCCTAACAGTTGGATGCTGCTGAAGGATTTCAGGCAGAGGAGTGAGATGGTCAAGATTGCGTTTAGAGAGATTACTGGCTCCTAAGTGGAAAATTGATTAGGAGTTGCTATAAAGACACAAGAACCCTTTAAGAAACCACTGTAATACTGTGTTAAAACTGAAGGATATAGGAATTGACTGAATATGTAGAGATGGATGCCTCCTATAAGCAATCCACTTGAACAGAAGCTCCATTAGGGCAGGAATCTTGTCAGCTTTATTTTTAGCTGGATCTGACATGCCAGGCACATAGTAGGCACTCATTATATATTTGATGTATGAATCAACGGATGACTTTATGGATAACTTTATGCATCCACATGTCAAGAGCAAATTCTGGGCTAGAAATCAAGATTTGGGAATCATATGGAGTCCATGTGGACTCAGAAGTCTCTGAGGATGGAGAGGAAGATTGTGAACCAGGTGCTGAAATCTTCAGTGAATGTTTGGAGGAAGGGATTATCAAAAGGAAATTTATAAATGACAAAGTCAAGGAAAGAGAGATGGTACTACAGCTGCATGCTGTGTGTGTCTCAAAGAGTTGGAGTTTTTCAAGAGGTTTGGTGAGTAATGGTTAAGACACGGCACTGAGTAGTAAAGAGAGGACTGACCGCACCTCTTTACCCTGAGATGTGAGAGAATAAGCAACCTTGTTACATGAAAGTCCACTGCAAGAGAAGCAGCAAGGCTGGTTTCAGGTGAAGCCACAAGGTGGAAGGAACACTTCAAGAAGCTTGGGGCTATGGGTAAATTTGCTGATTATGAAGTGGCAATTTGATTCTCCAGACAGCTGCTGGCGTGATTGTTTGAGAAGCCAGTCTCATTATGCCTCAGACCTTGCAAGATTAGGGAAGAATGGAGGGATGGGTCATTGGCAAGGTGGTGCAGAACAACATGGAGATCATATTGGGCTGAGATTAGATGTGCTGAGAGGGTACTCCTGTAAGTTAAACTGATGAAAAGAAAGATCATGGTGGACTTTGTCTAAAAGACAAAGATTCTAAATCAAGTTTAATTCCAAATATCGGTATCTGCTATATTTTTTCAATTTTCTAAGTAGCCATTAGTGGCTCCTCATGAATTTAAAAATAGCTTTTTGGTGGGTGGGGAAGCCATTTCATTGAATGTGTACATGGACTGTAAGAAAAATGAGAAACATAAAAATGTGAAAATCAATCTTAGTCTTTAAATAATAGTACCTGTTACGATGTAGCTGCTACTGATATGATAAAGTTAATGAAGATAGTGAGGGTGATATGAAAAGGAATGTTATAAGCCTAGCAGTTCTTTGTTCTTTATATTTTTATTACTATGAGAATGAAATTGCAAGCAGCATCTTATTTTCAACACAAACATTTCATTTTAATTCAAAGCTATGTGTAACATACCATAGAATTTTTTCAGTTCTGGGTAGTTTTTACAGTCTGATCGTTTTCTGTCTTTATTAATGACTTTTTTTGATAACTATAGTTTTCTTCTTTAGGTATTGGATCAGGAGTCAGTTTTCAGTTGAGCAACCAACATAAGTTCAACATCCTGATATTATATTCAACTACCAGGTAAGGCTCCCTACTTGGTGATTTACATGAGACATAACGACTGGAATATTGTAGGGAGATGCCACCTGTTTAGTGTCTGTTTATGTTTTATGTTTACATTTTTTCTCATACAGAAAGGAAAGAGATAGAGCAAGAGAAGAGCATACAAGTGCAGTTAACAAGATGTTCAGTCTGCAGAATGAAGGGGATGATCAACAAGGAAGCCGATACAGTGTAATTCCACAAATTCAGAAGGTGTGTGAAGTTGTTGATGGGTTCATCTATGTTGCAAATGCTGAAGCTCAGAAAAGTAAGCATTATATTATTTTCTTCTTAAAGTCACTTGCTCTGCAGAACAAATAAAAAATATTTTTTAGGCTTTACTGGACTTAAGAATATGATGTTTAATTTAATCAATGTGATTCTGTTACCATTAGTTAATAGTGGGTTCTCAAACCTTGACGTGCATTAAGATCACCTGGGGAGCTTGTTCAACACCCCTGCCTGATTCCTGCCCTGGTCGATTTTGGTTCATAGATTTGGATTGTATCTTGGGCACCACAATCCACGTTTCTAACTTGGTTTTTCAAACAAGTGCATACAGAATTTTGATGCATACCAAAAGGTAATGCCAGAACTATATGATATTATTTTGTTGTATACTTCTGCACTTTTTGTTATTGCTATTTTGTCTGCTTCTGTCCCTATTGAAATAATTTGTGTAGATAACTGAAAATATTTACCTTTGTTTTAATTACCTCGATAGAGAGATGTGTGGAGTGAATATTTAATTAAGTAGGTTAGTTAAGAACACTCTCCATATGTTCTGAATAATTGCCACTCGCAGTGATATGTAAGCATGAAATCAGAACCTTTTTGGGCCACAGCCAGTGTTGTAATTTCCCCCCAAATCACTGTAAACAAGCTAGGACATAAATATTTGATATATTGTTCTCACTCAAAACAAGGTAGCAGCAGCCCATTGTTGAGAGAATTTAAAGTTTATGGTGCACTAAAGCCAGCTATAACTAGAAAGACAAACCCTGCTTACGTACTGACTAGTTGGACCTGACCTGGAGTGTTAATAGCCTGACAGAAAAAGCATGCCCGTTGCCAGGAGTACATCCTCTTTATCTCGGTCTGTACTGTTTGACATGAAACATCTCACATTAAATTAAAAGTTTATAAAACACACACAAAAAAATCAAAATGAAATGACCCGTTGTCAAAAGATAAAGCTATCAATGGAGCCAGACCCAGAGATTGCCTGGACATTGGCAGTGTAGAAAGGGGCATTAGAAGAGCTATGATTAATATGTTAAAGGATTTAGTAGAAAAGGTGAATAATTTGTGTTAACAGATAAGGATTTTCAGCAGACAGAAGGTAGCTGTGAAAGAGTAAAATCGGAATGCTAAACATGAAAAATAGGATAACAGGTGAATAGTTTTTCCAGTGGATTTACCAGCAAGGGAAACCTACAGCGAACTGAAGATAACTAAGTTGTAATTATCCAATTTAAAGCATAAAGAGGAAAAAGAGTAGGAGTGGGGAACAGAGCATTTAAGAGCTGGGGATATCTATCAAGTGATCTGACTCGGGAAGAGATAACTTTTTCTTAAAAGGCCAGATATTAAGTGTCTTAGGCATATGAACCATATGATGATCTCAGTTACTCATCTCGACTGTTAGAGTGCAAAAGTAGCCATAGACAATTTGTAAATTAATGCGCATGGCTATTTTCCAAAAAAGTTTTATTTATAGACAGATCCGCTGGTCTGACTTATGTGTATAATTGGGTCTGAAAATATGAAGGGAATAAGAACAGAGAAAAAGAAAATTTTGAACAGATAGTGTCCTAAATTATTCAAAATTACTGAACGATAACAAGCCACAGATCCAAGATGCTCAGAGGACTCCAAATCTGATAAATAAAAAAAATACATCTAGGTGTGTCATAGCCTAATCAATGCAAGCCAAAGGTAAACAGAGTATCTGAAAGGCAGCCAGAGCAAAAAGAAAGCTACCTATAGAGGGTCAAAGGTAAGGACCAGGACTGCCGGAAGGAATTGCTGTAAGCTAGAAGGCAGTGAAGGGAAACCTGTACAGTGTTGCAAAGGAGCAAAGACATTATATCCAGCAAAGAAATCTTTTAAAAGTGAAGGCAAAATCAAGACTTTTTCAAACAAACAGAACCTGAGAACATTCATTATCAACAGATGAACACAAAAAATATTAAAGGAATCTCTTTAAGCAGGAGAATATATCTGATGGAAAATTGTATCTACATAAGAAATCAAGAACCCTGGGATGAAAACAATAAAACTATATGTAAATATTTTTTCTAATTTTAATTTCCTTGTAATTATGTAAAGGAAAACAGTAACTATGTATTGTGGGTATATGCTGTTTTTAAGTCAAATATATGATAACAGTATAACAGCATGAAGGGAGGAAATGGAAATATACTAGTATATTATTGCACATGTGAAATTGTGTACTATTTAAAGGTAGACTGTTAGAAGCTAAAAATACACATTGTAAATCATATACATTGTAAATCTTTGAGCAGCCTCTAAGAAATGTCTAGCAGAGGTATGTATAATTAACTATTAAATAAGCCAGTAGTGAATATAAAATAGAGGCCTTAGAGGGAAATGTGCGTTTTAGCTCACTCAAGTTATTTGCTGAATTCAGTTCCATATGGTAGAACTGAGGTCTGGCTTCCTTGCTGGACGTCAGCTGCAGGCTGCTCTCGGCTCTTGGAGGCCTTCTTCCTTCTTTGTTGTGACTCAGTCTGTCTTCAAATCCAGCAATGGAGAATCTTTCACCAGGAAGAACCTCATCCCTTTTAAGGGCTTACCTGATTAAGTCAGCTAACTGAAGATAATATCCCTAATAGGAAAGTACAGCCTAATGATGATAGTGATACCGCATTATATTTGCAGGTTCTTCCCACACTCAAGGGGGAAGGGATTATACAAGGATGTGAGTCATTGGGGATCACTAGAATTCTGCCTCCCACAAAATGTCAGTGACTTATTAGTTCCAGTTAAAGGAAAAAATTGTCAGTTTGTGTAAAAAAGCTATATCCGACTATATATTGAAATTTTTGAAATTAAGGACTTTGAAAGAGAAGGTAGTGCTAGCCACAGAATTTTTGAGAGGAAAATATCTATATCAAAGTATTTTTTTTAACTATAGAGACATCTGAATGATACGATGATTCCCCCCTTCCTGCCTGATTTCACCTAAATACCTGTCCTTGCAAGGCTACTTAATGTAATTTTATGACATATTAATAAATGAACAAAGCAAATAGAGATGGTTTGTTATGTTTGGATTCTGGTAATTTTTCAATTTCCTTGTTTTGTTAGTTTTTAATTTTATTATTTTAGCAATCATTGCAAGTAATGCAAATTAAGAGGTTTGACTACATTCCTTAGGACATGAATGGCAAGATGAATATTCTCGTATTATGGCAATGACAGATCCAGCCTTTGGATCTTCAGGAAGACCAATGCTGGTTTTAGCTTGTATTTCTCAAGCAAATGTAAAAAGAATGCCCTGTTTTTATTTGGCACACGAGCTCCGTCTGAATCATCTAAACCACCCTTGGATGGTAAGGTCCTCTCTTCCCTGGCGAGAAATACCTTATTTTATTTTTCACTGTTTTTATTTGATTTTATCCTTTCCTACCCATTGTCTTTAATGAATCAGAACAGTATTCTAAAGTCACTTTTAAGACGGGGGTTGGAGGCGGGGAGAGAGAGAGAGAAAGAAACAGAAACATTGACTTGGTTGCCTTCTTGCACAGGCCCTGACGAGGGATTGAACTAGTAACCTGAGTATGTGCCCTGACCAGGAATTGAACCCGGAATCTTTTGGTCTATGAGATGATGCTCCAACCACCTGAGCCACACCAGATCATGTCTTCTTATCTAAGCTCTCTAGAAGACAGAACTTGAGCGACTCATCCAAAGTTTACTGGGATTTTTTTTTTTTTGGTCCCCTTTTGTGTGTGTATGTGTTTCCTAGGAAAATGTCCCTCATAATCATAAGATTTCTTACTGATAATGTTCTCTCTTATCTGCTTATAGGTCCAGGATACAGAAGCTGAAACTCTAACGGGTTTTTTGAATGGCATTCAGTGGATTCTTGAAGAAGTTGAATCTAAGCATGCACGATGACCCTTGTTTTAGACCTTGGGAACTGAAACCGTTTGACACTAAGGTCATGATGTCATATTTCCTCAGCCAGCTCATTTTGTCCTGCCTTTTTGCAGGTAGGCTTTATATTGTAGCTGCTGTATTTTTAATACAATTTTTGCTTTTTACCTTAAATCAACTACAAGAAAAAGTTTCAGTGCAAGCATTTTTAGCCCCAGAATGAATATTTTAAGATTTTTTCCGATAATTTTTTATTTTCTGTCTTTTAAAAAATATTAAATTCTGGAAAAAACAGGTTTGTTGCCTAACTCATTCCTTGTGGTTTCTGTTCTTTTCAGTTTAAAGATTGCTTAGTGGGAAATTGCAAATTTGCTAAGCTTTCTATAGGTTCTTTTCAAGGGTCCTCAATGGGTTATCGGAAAAGAAGTTTCAGGCACACTCATCCACAGTTTGGCTTCAGCAGCCTGTAGTTGGGCGCAGGATGAGCAATGCTGACAATCCTGCTTCTCCCCAGAAGACTGGGAGAGGGGGTCCGTGCCCTGGACTGCCACAGTCCAGGTCAGAGGTTGCGTCTTGCTGAGGTTCTGTCTCGGAGGAGGGAAGGAGAGAGTGGGTCTTGGTTCAAATCCCACAGATGCTTGCTGTTCTTACTGAGTTTCAGTAGATTTTTTAAAGTTTCTTCATTTGCTGTATTTTTTTAGTGCCATTTAGAGACTGGTTTTTTTAAAAAATAATTTTCTTTTGTTTTCATGGGAGCCATTCCATGGAACTCCTCAGGCTGTTATGCCAAAAGTGGATCCCTTATTTCTTTTTAATGTGTTTGATACTGGCATTCTTAAAGAACCAGCTTCAGGTTTTATTGATTTATTCTATATTCAGTATCATTGGCTTACATTCTATTCGATATCATTGGTTTTACTTCTCTATTTTTCAGCTTTTTTTTCTAATTTTATTTCAATCTCTCTTTTTTAGTTTAAGGTAGAAATTTAGGTCATTGACCCCAATTCTTTTTTAAAAACACAGTCATTTAAAGCTGTACATTTTCCCCTAAGCCCTCTTTAGCTGCATCCACACATTTTGATATGTATTTATTATTATTCAGTTAAAATATTTTCTAATCTCTTGTGATTACTTTTTCAATCCATGGATTATTTAGTATATTATTTTAGTGCTTTTAATAATATCTTTATTTCCTAGATATTTTATTCTTACTGATATTTCATTCAATTCTCTATCAGAGAACATATTCTAAAATTTCAGTGTTTTTAAATTTATTGAAACTTTCTTTATGGGCCAGTTTATAATCTATTCTGGTGAATGTACCATACATACTTGAAAAGATCTTATATCCTATAGTCGTTAGGTTAAATAGCTATCTTTTAGGTCAAGGTAGTTGGTGATTTTTAGATACTAATTCATAATTGAGTCAGCATAACAGTTCTTCATGGTTTAAAGCTAAACAGGACTTCTCAGAACCTTTAATATGCTGATATAACATGAATCAAAGAATATCATTTACTGTAGAGTACTCATTTATTTTACTTATTTAATACTTAATCCCCTTTTCATATATTTAAGGGTATGTATAATCCTAAGAAATTATTTCATTTAGGTTTTATAGTTTACTTGCATAGATTTGTAACTACTACCTTATGATTTTTAAATATATACCTTTTCAAGGATAAATTCTTTTTTATTGTTTCTTTCCATTTGTATACTTTCTCTTTTTTTCCCCTCTTGACTAGGTTAGCTAGTGCTTTAACTATACTTTTATATATTTTTTCATAGCTATTGTTTTGGTTTATTTAGTACTTTGCTCTTTTATACCTCATTAATGTCTGCTGTTATTTGTGTTCTGTTTTTAATTTTTTTCAATTACAGTTGATGTACGATATTTTATTAGTTTTAGGTGATCATCCTGGTAAATCTAGTCCCCATCTGACACCACACATAGTTATTACAATAATATTGACTGTGTTCCCTTTGCTGTACTTTACAGCCTCATGAATATTTCGTAACTAACAATTTGTCCTTACTAATCCCTTAACCTTTTCACCCATCCCCCGAGTCTCCCTCCCATCTGGCAACTGCCAAAATGTTCTCCGTATCCCTGTTTCGGTGATGCTTGTTCCTGTGTCTTGTGTTTTAGGTTCCATATTGAAGTGGAAGCTTATGGTATTTATCTTTCTGTCTGACTTATTTCACTCAACACAGTACCCTCTAGGTCCATACATGGTGTCACAGATGGCAAGATTTTATTCTTTTTTATGGCTGAGTCATATTCTGTTGTATATATGCACCACTTTATCCAGAAATGGACACTTAGATTACCTCCATATCTTGGCTATTGTAAATAATACTGCAATGAACATATGAATGATAGATACGTATTTATTGCCATTTTATTATTTCTATTTTTGATCTTTTCTTCTTAAAGAAGACCCTTTAACATTTCATGTCATACTGGTTTGGCCATAATGAACTCCTTTAGCTTTTTCTTGTCTGGGAAGCTCTTTATCTATCCTTCAATTCTTAATGATAGCTTTGCTGGGTAGTATAATCTTGGTTGTATATCCTTTTCATCACCAAATATTTTGTGGCAATCCCTGCAGGCCTGAAAGGTTTATTTTTTATTTTATTTTATTTTCTCCCCTTTAAATAGTTTTCTTTTTTTATTAAATATTTTATTGTAATTCTATTACAGTTGTCCCAGTTTTTCCCCCTTTGCTCTCCTCTGCCCACGGTCCATTCCCACTCCGTTGTCCATGTCCCTGGGTCATTCATACATGTTCTTTGACTAGTCCCATCCTCTTCTTTCCACCCTTATCCCCGTCTCTGCACCCCTCTGGTCACTGTCAGTCTGTTCCTTGTTTCCATGCCTCTGGTTCTGTTTTGCTCATTTCTTTTGTTCATTGGGTTCCTCTTATAGGTGAGATCATAGGTATTTGTCTTTCACCAACTGGCTTATTTCACGTAGCTGCTTATTCTGCAGTTCCATCCATGCTGTTGCAAAAGGTAGGAGTTCGTTCTTTCTGCTGCATAGTATTCCATTTTAATCTTTGCCCTTTGAGGGTGATGTTGTCTGTAGGTTTCTTGTATATGGCCTTTATTATGTTGAGGTGTGCTCCCTCTATTCCCACTTTGCTGAGTGTTTTATCATAAATGGGTGCTGGACTTATCAAATGCATTTTCAGCATCTATTGATGTGATCATGTGATTTTTATCTTTCATTTTGTTTATGTGGTGTATTACGTTTATTGATTTGCAAATATTGTACCATCCTTGTGTCTCTGGGATGAATGGCGTATGATCTTTTTAATGTATTGCCGGATCTGGTTTGCCAATATTTTGCTCAGGATTTTACCCTGTCTGTTCATCAGAGATACTGGCCTGTAGTTTTGTTTCTTCGTTGTGTCTTTACCTCATTTTGGAATTAGGATAATACTGGCCTCGTAAAAAGGTGTGGAAGTCTTCCCTCTTCTTGAATTTTTTAGAATAGTTTGAGAAGGATAGGTGTGAGTTCTTTCAATGTTTGGTAAAATTTGCCTGTGAAGCCATCTAGTCCAGGACTTTGTGTGCTGGGAGTCCTTTGATTGCTGCTTCAGTTTCACTAGTTATTGGTTTATTCAGGCTTTCTGCTTCTTGATTCAGTTTTGTAAGATGGTATCTTTCTAAAAATTTGTCCATTTTGCCCAGGTTGTCCATTTTATAGGCATATAGTTGGTTGTAATCTTTACAATCCTTTGTATTTCTGTGTTTTCAGTTGTAACTTCTCTTTCATTTCTGATTATATTTATTTGGGTCCTCTCTTTTTTTCTTGATGAGTCTGGTGAAAGGCATGTCAATTTTGTTTATCTTTTCAAAGAACCAGCTCTTGGATTTATGGATCCTTTGAATTTTTTTTTTTTAGTGTCTGTGTCATTTAATTCTGTTCTGATCTTAATTATTTCCTTCCTTCTACTTGCTCTGGACGTTGTTGTTGTTATTCTGGTTCTTGTCGATGTAGGGTTAGCTCTTTCATTCTTTTTTAGGTAGGCCTATATTGCTATGAAATTCCCTCTCAGGACTGGCTTCATTGTGTCCCATATGTTTGGGGCTGTTGTGTTTGTTTTCATTTGTTTCCATAAACTTTTTTATTTGTTCCTTGATCTCATTGTTAACCCATTTATTATTTAATAGCATGTTATTCAGTGTCCATGTATTTGAATGTTTTTGAGTTTTCTCCTTGAGGTTGACTATTCTAGTTTCAAGCCATTGTGATCTGAGAAGATGCTTGATATGATTTCAGTTTTCTTGAATTTGTTAAGGCTTGTTTTGTGTCCTATCATATGGTCTGTCTTTGAAAATGTTCCATGTGCATCTGAAAATAATGTATATTTTGCTTCTTTGGGGTGAAACGTTTTGTATGTATCAATTAATTCCATTTGATCTGGAGTGTTATTCAGTGCCATAGTATTGTTGTTTATTCTTTGTTTGGAAGATCTATCCATTGTTGACAATGGGGTGTTAAAATCTGTTACATTGAACATGTTGCTGATGATATCTTTCTTGAAGTCCTCCAAGATTTACTTTATATATTTAGGTACTTCTGTGTTGGTGCATATATGTGTACAAGGATTAATCTTCCTGATGGATTACTCCCTTAAATATTATGTAGTGTCCTTCTTTGTCTCTTTTTGTGGCTTTGTTTTGAAATCTATTTTGTCTAATGTAAGTATTGCTGCTGTAGCTTTTTTAAAAAAAGATTGTTTGTTTGTTTGTTTGTTTATACACAGAGGGGAAGGGAGGGAGAAAGAATGGGAAAGGAACATCAATGTGTGGTTGCCTCTCATGCACCCCCTACTGGGGACCTGGCTTGCAACCCAGGCATGTGCCCTGACTGGGAATCCAACCAGCAACCCTTTGGTTCACAGGCTGGTGCTCAATCCACTGAGCCACACCAGCCAGGGCACTACCCTAGCTTTTTTTCCCCATGTTCATTTGGAATATTTCTTTCCATCCTTTCACTTTCAGTCTGTGTAGACCTTTTGTTCTGAGGTGGGTCTCTTTAGGCAGCATATGTGCGGATCATGCTTTCTTATCCATTCAGCCACCCTATGTCTTTTGATTGAGCATTTAATACATTTACATTAAAGCCATATTAT